TGTATGCACAGAACAACAGACACTTGATGATGGGGCACAGTGATGTTTGGTGCCCTGGGCATGGCATTGAAGAATCAGAAGAGGTTTTGAAGTGGGATCCTTCCCATGAAGAGAGACCAGTCAATAGCCATGGGGAGAGAAGGCAGGAATTTCACAAAACTTGAAAAGATGACTGTTTCTTTGAATCAAGGGGTGAAGTTACCTTAAGAGATGAGGCAGAAAGAACAAAGAAATATTCTCTGGGTTTCTTCCACCCAGCCTGACCCCACCAGCAGTCGGTTGGTTTGTTTGGTTTTGTACTTTCCTTTTTAGAAATTATCTGTGATTTAAAAACACCAAACAATCAATAACAAAACAAGAAACAAAACTTCTCAACTAGCCCCCTCTACCAAAACATCCACTTTGTTGCTATGTTCTGTGCAGGTACTGGCTGCAGCACTGAGTCATTTAGCAGCTGTGTTCTTATTCTCTTCACCCACTCTTGTCACCTCTTGACTCTCTGCATAGCCCCTGGCTGTTGTAAGTGATCCAGGTGTAGTGTGGGCAGAGCCTAGATGTGGTTTCTGGTGCTTCCCTCCAGTGCACTCTCCTGAGCAGTTTCCAGTCTGAACGCTTCTGCGATTCAGCCTTCCGAATTCCCAAACCCACATCTCCCCTAAGTTTTCAGCTGCATAGTTAATCTCAGCCCTCAGAAGGGATAACAGCAAAGAAAGTGGGTGTTTTAGTAGAGGAGGTTAGTTAAGAAGTTTTGCTTGTTGTTTTGTTGAACATGTGCATCATGTTGTTTCAGTCATATAAATAACTTTGCAGTCCTCTATGACATGATGTATTACCATATAATTGCATAGCTAATTTGGCAGCAAGACTAAATTAATTCCTTAATGTAGAGGTCTGCAAGATACACTAGTCTTTTATGCCGTGGTTCCCTCAATTTGGAAGGTAGCCAGACAAACAATTTGTGATGGTAATGGTGTAATTGCTCTCTGTCAAACCTTGAATGTTGAAGAGAAAAAGCCCAGCTTTCTTGTACTGCAGCCAGACACAGCTGTCACTCTCTTCTATTCCACCAGGTGGAGAAGCTCACTAGTGCGACTGGCAGGAAAGGGCGATGGATGTTAAGCAAACTGTGCAAAACTGCTCTTGATCAAGAAACCGTTTGTTTAAATTGAACATCAAAAGTTTCAAATATAACATGTTATTTTCTAAGGGAGGAAAATGACTTTCACAAACAAAGCAAGAACCGTTTCACAGCCTTCTCCCATAACCGCACTTACTATAACATTGTCTTGGTTTAAGCCCAGCTGCCAACTAATATATAATAATAATATAATAAATAATAGCCTTTGCACCTGTAATTCTGAAGACACTCTTTAAAGATGGGTAAAATCTTTAACCCTCTTTTATAGATGCAGAAGCAAATAAAGGCTAAGCAGCTTTCTTGAGATACACTATAGATCCATAGTAAAGACAGTGAATCACCCAATTTTGAGTTACAGCTAATGAGGAAAACTGACAAATTCTAAACCTGTATGGATTTATAGTGAGTGAAAACATGTATCATAAGCACTTCTCAAGCTGAAGGGCCTAATTTGATCCCCAGTTAGGTGACAGTACTCTATTTGCTTTTGCCGTTTAATTGTGTTTTCCATTTGAGATTGTACTCACTCAAAGAATGTCCTCTGAAAACTTTCCCATGTTGTCTGATAACACATGTGGGGGCTGGGGGCTTATTGAAATTAAAGAATAAAGGGTTGGCTTTGTTGTTGAGACTGAGTGTTGGGCCAGGCAGCCCTACAAAAGATCCAATCCCAAAGCTACTCTCCATGTATAAGTGTGGGATTCTGGATTCCAGATTGAAGACATATCAACATTGGTAGGAGCAGATAGGTATGAGATATATGTGGTTATGTTAACTGTGAATGTAGGATCATTTGCACCAGGCTTTTCTGAGCTGGCAGGACCCAAAGCTGCTTTTATGCCTGGTGATCTAGATATCCAACCCCAGGATCAGGGCTCTACTAGCTGAAACACAACGTGAAGCTGGTGCAAGTGTTGTGCCAGCTCCGTACATCTATGTAAGCTATTCACTTGCAGTATGGCAATGCTTAGGGCAATGCTGTCCACAGGGAGCACACAGGTTTATGAATCAAAGTCTCATCCAGGTTTCACTGTCTTGAGAGAAATGCTTAACCTCTGTTATCTCAGTTTACTTAGCTGTAGGGATAGATATTACTATAATCACGTAAAGTAGTCCAGTTACACAATTTGAGGATTAAGTGAAGCACTAAGTAATACATGAAGCAACAGATGATCCATAAAAATGTATTCTTTTGAAATATAATCCTGCCTTTTGATATAGGCTGGCTTAAACTTCAAAAGACTGGCTCTGGGAAAATGGACCTTACCCCTACTCATAGACTTTCTGAATGTGTCCTGTTTACTGAAGGTCTGAGTCACTTTAGCATCAACAGGCATTCTTCTTGCCTGAATCTTGCTGTTTTGGGCACATCTCAAAAAATGAGAACATGATAGTTAGACCATGATAGTTTTAGGTTGTACCAAGGTGAACTCTGTCCTTTCAATCTATTATAATGTTTGGTCTTTCTGACCCCAAATCAAAGCTATTTTCTGAAGCATTGCCATGGTGATGCACAACACAGTGTATTGTCTTTGCCACTGCTTTTAGAGCTTTATTGAAATACTTTTGAGCTGAAGATGCATATAAAATAATAATACATTATGTTGGAGATTGACTTACAATGGGTTGCTATATGAAATACTTAATAAAATCTCCAAAATTATATTAAGAGAAGTTACCAGAAAATTAAAAATACCTAAGTATATAGAGCTGCAAAAACAGACATGAGTGAGTGAGTAGAATTGACCCTCTCTTCCAAAGCACTGCAGGAAGAAATATTTGCTAGCAAATTGAGTAATTGTTTCTGAAAATTAGCAGCTATCTAGTTTCTGGGTAAGCCTTCAGCATTACCTATTCCTAAGAAACTTCTTTGGATTCACAGAGTGCTTACTATTGTGAAGCTAATAGATATGTTTTTGATGAATACATTTTTCCATTTGATTTGTAAGAGCAGTAACCTTTAGTCACACACAGACAAGATCATTTTTATTCTAGGCTTAGCCCAGCAAAATTGCTTGATTCAGAGTCTGATATGCGCATTGGCTTAATTATTTTTTTCCATTGTGATGAATCTTATGTGATGATCAGATTGTGAAGTTTATTTTATGTGTGTGGTAAGTTCATCTTAGGTCTGATGAATTTATTTCTCCTCTGTTCTCCCCTGCTCTTTAAAAAATACTCAGGATTGCTTTTATTGCTTTTCAGAACACCCTTTGTAACCATCATATTCTGTAGATCACAGAGTCATAGAATCGCTTAGGTTGGAAAAGACCATTAAGACTATTGAGTCCAACCATTAACCCAGCACTGCCAATTCTACCACTAAATTGTGTCCCCAGTCTACGTGTCTTTTAAATAACTCCTGGGATGGGGACTCCACCGCTTCCTGGGTGGCCTGTTTTCCTGATATGCAATTGTGGGGAGTGAAGGCGGTAAGATTTTCATGAAGAACGGTTTGGGAATGAGCTCTGAGGCCTTGGTGCTTTGACAAGCCCTGGGGCGATGAGTTGAGGCGTTGAAGGCTGGAGGATGTGGGGGTTGTGAGAGGGTCTGTAGCACTGTGATTGGACTATTTACCTGGAGAGTTTTACAGGGGCCAATGAGATTGAGCATTGTATGCATGTGCAGGTTGGGAAAGTACCGAACAGGGGGATAAAAAGGGCTTGGTTGTAATAAATTGGGATTTGAGTCTCTGCATCAACTTGAGTCCATGTCGTGAAATGCCACATGCAATCAGGTGCCACTTGAGGGAGGTAGGTTCTATGATTCTAATTATTTACTGCTTCAGATACTGGAAGTTATTTCTGTTTGAATTGCAATATGACCAAATTATTATTTTGATTAAGTTGATGAGTTCACGCTCATTTATCTCAATTCTCATTTCATTGAGAAACCTTTTAATCTACAGAGTTGTCCCACTCTGAGAAGCCTCCTATTAAAATTCAAGCAATACAGTCCTATTTTTTGCAAGAGCAGTTACTGGAAATTTGGAGGTGGAAGAGAATGGGGCAGGATGTTTTAGGTCATAAGACTGAACCTCCCAGGTGTGTTTGGGCATTACTCAAGAAGTTAATATGAATCAGTGCAAATCAGTTCAGCTTTGCATCCAGAAGTCCAATAAATGGGCTGAGCTAGCAGACCTAAACTTGCTTGTGGTAACCCTGAGTCACCCTGAGTAGCTGCCTTCTTCCAGCAGGTCCTTACTAAACCTGGAAAAGGTCTTTTCCAAGGATTTTTATTTTCCATTATGAGACATTTCCTGAGACTGATGTTCTGCTAGTTGGTAACTACTCTGTCTCCTGTGTACTCTGTGGTTGTAGGCTATCCCACAGGAGGACCCATGCTTACTGCATGGGGATTGCACCATTGTCCAGACAAACCAGTCTTTGTTTCTGGCTTCCTCCTGCTTGAACGCTTGAAGCTGTGCACTAGCTCTAGCTCCCCATCCCTTTGCAGTCTGGGTACAATGCAGAGTAATTTAATTAAGGATGCTCTGTGGGGAAAAGAGAAGGCTGCAGCAGCCGGGGCACAGTATATAAAAGCAGAGCATCAGCTGCAGCTAAGCAATCAATTGTATTACAAAGAGAATAACTGTGGGATGCTGTGGCAAGTTGGAAAAAAGGCATTTTATACAACCTCAGGTGGATCCCAGGTTATGCTCAGAATGAGGGCACAGAACGTTCCTTTATGAGCTATGTGAGTGCTGTAGCTTTCTGTATTGCTTCATATTTTTAACTGGACCATGACATTTCATGAACTTGCGCCTTTTCCTTTTTTTCCCTTATTAATACTGCAAAATATTTAAACAGTATCTAGCATTGCTTCTGAAAGTTTTGCTGATAACTTTTATTGCTTTTAGCAGGATTGGTCAGCCTCAGGAGGGAAAAAAGGACAGTCTTGTCATTTCTGTGTGAGTTTAGAAATTACAGGGCTCCTGTAAAAGAATCCACAGATCTGTTTAGGGATCTAATTTTCCCACATGCTGTATAAGGAGTTTTGCTACCTTGCCAGCAGGAGCCAGCATCCTGGATGCAGAACCATCTTGAAGGAAAAATCAGGTAGGAGTGCCCAGATGTGTCCATATGTTCCACCTTGGCATGTATTAACTTCTTTTCTTTCTAAGACTTTTATCTCTGTGTGTGGCACAGGGTAGAGGGTCAGATGATTAACAAGTCTCTGTTTTATTACTTCACTTTTTGAGTAAAACTTCCTAATTCCCCATGGATTTTAGGGTGAGAAGAACCTCATAAATTGACCTTGGTTTCAAATGGGCAGGTCACAAAGGTCCTCATTCTTCTCCCCACACTTGCTGTGACACTATCAGGGCAACTATAATTGCCTTGATGTTAGTGGAAAGAAACCTACTTCTCCAGAAACTCCAAGAGTTTCTCCATTGCAATGGGAATTTTGAGACTGTCATGGTGCTTGAACTGTTTTAAAAGTGATGTACTGCTTGGTCTTTCAGGATCTGGCTAAAAAAAATATAAATCCAAACTCATTCTAATGTTAATTGCACTGAACTATGTACTGGGCTAATTGCAAAGCTTTTAGCTATGTTGGTTATCCATGCGCTCCCTACTTCCTTGTCCAGAAGACCCAAATTACATATAATGGAAAAAATTAAAGCATTAAATGGTTACTGCAGGTGGCTTAGATTGCAGTCTGCCATAACATCTACGTCATCAGCACAGGAAACAAAAAGTGTTATTGTCTGGAATGTTTCCATTGGTCTAAAAGACATCAGGAAGGCTTACCTTTTGACTTTTACATGATAAATTGCTTACCTTTAAATGCTACAAAACAGAAAAAGGGCTTTTTCTTACAATGTATTTGTGATTCTGAAAGCCACTGGAAAGCTGTACTTGAGGATTGTAGATTGATAGTAAAAAGCCTGAACAGCATAATAGAAAGTCCTCAGTTTTGGTGGCTAACATTTTAAGTACCATGTCTTAATGCAGTAAGGAGATAACACTATAGCGTCACTTTAAGGTGATAGGGCATGTCACTGGGAGACAGCAAGGACAAGGACTCCTCCTTGTTCCCTAAGTCCTCAAAGGAGGGGACTCACATAATTGACAAAGCCACAAAGCTATTTTATTGTTGAGGTGTCTGCTGATGCAAGAGAAACTGGAAGGTTTTCAGAGCAACAGGAAACATGTAACCACCTCTCCTTTTCTTTGGTTAAGAATGTCTTGCATGCTGCTCAGATGCAGTCTGCAAAATAGGTCCAAACACATTCCAGAGCTCCACCAAAACCGAGCTCTGGCACAGTTTGGGTGAGGTCATCCAGAGCTAGTTGCTGAAATGTCTTCAATGTATTTTATTTTATTTTATTGGGCACCTTGAGTGTCTACCTTATTTTCTTGTTGTGCAGTTCAATTACCTGTGCTGTTTTTCTGGGGCTGAAGCAAACCGGAAATGTTCGTTAGTGAGTTATATTCAAAGATGATAGAAGCATCCTCAGCACCCGTCAGTGAGAAGAACAGTCCCTGTTGGAAGTCCATGCTTGACTGACTGTGTTAGCCTAACCAGAATGAATGTATTAATGATGCTCAGCAGGTGTCTGAAAACAAGTTTTCCTTGAAAACACTGCTGTATTATGTCCTTCAGTTACCTCCTACTGCTGACATTGCTGGGAGAAAGATCTCTTCTGGTGGTTGTTGAGGTGTTAAAATCAAGCAAACACTCCAGGATTTTGCTTCAGCAGGTCCTAGAAAAGAAGTGAGCCAAGTGTTCATGGTTCTTTGAATTTTTTGCCTCTCTTGACTGTTCTACTCTGTAGGTATGTCCTTATGCCTGAAGCACAGACATATCCTCATAAAATATTAATTTATCCCCTGGGTGAGAAGGAAACAGAGTGAGAATAAAGGGAAGCATTAAGAAGTCTAATACAAGAGACTGTATGTGCTTTTCATGCTCACTCATGATCAGTGGCCTGCTATTGTATAAGTCCTGATATAAAACTGCTGGTCTTTGACATGAGCTGCATCATGTCATGATGTGAGCTTTGACATGAGCTGCACCATCAGTGATAGACTGGGAACAGTTGTGCTTTCCAATAGGACACAACCCATTGGAACCACAGCTGCCAGGGTGGAGTTTATGATGTCAAAGATAATCAAAAGCATTGGGAAGGGGCAGTAACCTGCTTAATTCTTCAGTTTCAGAAGGGGCTTGAGAGGCCTGTTGCTTTGTGCTTCTCCACTTGCTATAGTTACTGCAACTCTTCTGCAGCTCCTTTCTAAATGAGCTAGCTTGAACCCTTATGGAAAAGGCTGATAATCAAATAGGGCTGATCTTTAACTTATCAATCAACCAAACAACGTCATTAGGACATCAAAAATGCATTGTAGCTTTTGCTTTTGTTGTGAAACAGCAGTTGCAATGAGGTATTGAGAAAAACAGGTCCCAGAACATATTCAGCATGAAATATTCACCATCTATGACACAGGCCTTCCTCTCTTAAATTACCAGTGTCCTGAAGGTCAGATCCTGCACACCCAGTTGGCAGTTTTGCTAATCTCCTCATGCTACCCTGTTCTCAGGCATTCATTACTTCTTGATAGCAGTAATCACAAAGTCCTTCTGCATTGTCTATTTTAAAAAGTGTCATGTAGCTCAGGAAGCGGTGCAGTGTGCTTCTGCCTACAGAAATGGCAGGATCTTTCCAGTCTGTCTTCCTTTAATTATCTTGGGCAAAAAAAAATCCATCCAAGTGCATTATGGCAAACCTTTAAGTCACAGCACCTCCAGGACTGGTGCAGTCTGAGTACACTGGAGTCAGGTTGGATGACCTCTTCCCGTTGTTCAGAAACAAAACCTTTAGCCTCATGTCTGGGTTTTTTTTTTTGCTTTGCAGGAGAACCCCAGGGAGAAGATGATCATCTGTTGTAAAAAAGTCACACCTTTTCTAACAGGAACACTAGAAGCAGAAGCACTAATCTGGAATCATGGCAGCATGTTATAAACAAGAGCAGCCAGGGGGCAACCAATGCACAAATCTTTGCTTCACAAAAAAACTACAGGAAAGGTACAATTGGTATCAACCAAGAGAATAAAAGCTGCATGGAAAGAAACTAGTGATGGGTGTAAGAAATGCTGATGCATTGAAGATGTCTTTGCTCTCGTTCATTCTCTGTGAACACTTCCTTCCACATACTTGGCCATCAACTCCAGGCAGTTTAGTTTTATTCTGAGAAAGTGGTTGCAGATGCATTTTATCAGCCAAATTCAGAAGTCTTTAGAGGAATGGGCCACCTGTACTGCTGTTGTGTCTTCTAGTTCGTCCCACTCCCACTGCTGAACAAGAACTACCTCGTTGAACAAGATTCTCCAGCAGTGGGATTGAGAGGCCCTTGACAGCCAGGTACAAAAGCACTGACCATAATAATTTTTCCAGAGAGGATTTTTGATCATTAGGAAAAACCCTAATGATTCCCTCAATTAATAATTCACCTTATTGGGATTAGGTGACATTCTCAAGTGTTTCTGTTACTGTTGTTGAAGGTTATTTAGAGGTCTGAAGATGGCCACTGTAATGAGTCAGAGCTTGAAGCATTTACTTATAGAGAAATAAAAACCTGCCAGTATCTCACAGTATGGTGTCAAGAAAGCCTTTTGTGTTTTGTTTTAATAAGAAACTTCTCTAATTGTCATTTAATGTACACTGTTGCATCCAGTGATAATCTTTTTCCACTTGAGCGACCTTCCCATTTTGGTATCTATTTAAAACTGAGTTTTTTGTCAAAGTTGAATTCACGATGGCTTCATAACCTTCCTCCCTTGAAAGGAAGCAATTATTCAACCAAAAAATATATATACACTTTGGTTATTATGTCAATATGCCCATTTCCTGCTGAGTATTAAACTGTACTATTTCTAGGGGCTGGACTGGGAATATGATTAATAACAGGTTCTGATACAGAAGACAGCAAGTCAAGGCAGGGTAATAGTGATTTTTCATTTGAATCACAGACAAATTGGCTGTTTTGCAATACTTGTCTATGGCAATTACATGTTGTTTTGCTTCCTAATGCTGATTTCCTTCCACAGTTTATTAGCGTGAATGTCAGGGAAATGCTAGCATATTGTTTTTGTCTATAAACACTTCTGGCCAGGTGGAGAAGGCAGGCCTGTCTGAACTGCTGATTAGATCTGTTCGAATTCAGGCACTCCTGCAGGACAGTGCTTTTGCTGAGTGCCTCTGATCATGCCCGTGCTGTGGCACAGCAAGCTGCTCTCAGCATCAACCTGCTCGTGGTGGCCATCTGTGAACGGCGTGATATGTGAGGATCTGGGGAAAAGACGAGCAAACCTTCTGCAAGATGTAATGCGTACCAAAAGCCAGATCATGTTCTCTGGCTTGCACAAGTCACCACGCTGAGCTCAAACTGCAGGTTTGTGCTCTGCCATGGAGCGGTGCCGAGCTGCTTGAAATGCTTCTCACTTCTTTTGTTATTTCCAAACAGGATGTGGAGCTCTCCAGAAATGCTGACCTGCTGAGTTAGATTTACAGACTTTGGCTGGATTTGCTCAGGGGGCACTCAGCAGTTCCCATTTTGTGGTGCTTATGGTTAAAATCCTATAGTCTCCCAGAACCCAATGTTCCCAGCAATTTGAAGAAATTTGGTCGCAGCATGCCTTTAAAATAAAAAAAGGAATTAGTTTTGTTTTCGAGTTTCTGCCATACAGAACAGTTGTATTCTGTAGCTCCACAACATAAGACGACAAAAATTGAAACAACAGTTGGATTAAGTTGACAGAGGGTCTAGAAGAGAACCATTTTGATTCAAGCTTCGCACAAGAAGTAGGTAGTGCTAATCTTCCTAAGTAAATTGTAGATTGCTTTGTGCCAGTTTATCTTAAAATGCCGATGGCAAATCTGTGGATCTCATTTATTTTGTACATTTTAATTCAAACTCGCTAGCTGTAAGACGGGCAGCAGAACAGGGAGTGCTTAAATTCTCACCAAAAGAACACAAATAACAAATGCAAAGAACAAACATGACAGCAAAACTTGGTTAATTCCAGATTTTCTATGAATTGTCAGTGGCTTATTCAAAGTGTGCCTTCATAAGGAAAATGAGTGTATGGCTTGTACATATACATGTATAAATGCACAGATATAGATGTAAATATATGTATGTAACTCATGATGATGGGAAAGTTCTTAAGAAACAGCTATTTTTTACTGTGAGCTACCGGTTGTAGGATGTTAAAGTACACATTTTAGCTGCTTACGTACCATGAACGTACAGCCAGTGTGGGTCTGATTGCAGAGGTGCTGACACAATGGGCAAGGTGCTATTGGATTCACAGTGTAAACAAGATTTTTGAACATGGATTTTTTAAATTAACATGGTTGCGCTAAGCGACACTTTTTGAGCAATGACATATTTTGTAATGACAGTTTCTCATTAAGTTATGGCTTGTTTCTAGACTGTTCCTCCCCTACAGAAATTACTTTTTTGCTCTTAGCACAAGTGGTGGTTTTGATCGTGGAGAGCTTTCACTCACTGCTTACAGAGCTGTCTTAATGCGCTTATCTCTTCAAGAAAAATGATGTCAAAACCGTGTGTTACGTGTTCTGCTCTTACCAGCTCCCAGGAAAACAAGGAAGTGGGTAGTGTATCAGTGAGCTAATTTTCAAAATAGCAATATTTGTGCATATGCCTAGGCAGCTATTAGGCAGCTATTTGCCTTTTCTGATTAGTAATTATGCAACAAATTGGGAGTAACTGTCACATTAGAAGTAAAATATTACTTCAGTGTTTCAGAATAATTTTTAATTAAGCAGAGCTACCAAAGGGACAGCATTTAAGAAAACAGACCACAAAACCATCACAGAGCTCCAGCTATCCCTGAAAATTCTGCTCCCTGGGCTATCTCTTGGCTGTTATAATCTGGAAAATACTGTTCCCTGAATTAAACATCCTCCCTGACAACTTTGCTAGCTTCAATATTTGGCATCAATTAAGAAATGGTCCCCTACATCTTTTCTGATCTCTTCCTTAAGTTTATGGATCCATCAAAGATGAAAACAGCAGTGTGTTTTGGTGGCTAAATAAGAAATCATGTTCATTTAGAAGAGGGGCAACAGCAGGGAGGTATGCAAAAGATACTTCTGCTCATGCTAACAATTAAGTAGCCTTCTGGTCTGTAAGCCAGCAGCAAGGGAAAAACAAAGCCTCATACTCTAGTCTTCTTTAAGCAAAGCAAACCAGAAATGTCTGGTACAATATTCAATACCTCTTCATATATTGCTTTTCAGGTAATAATTTGGTTTTGAATATTTCTTGTCTATTTGGAGTGTCAGTAATTTCACTGCTCTTAGATTCTGGTAAGGAGCTGCACTTAGATCAAAAAAATTATATTTAAAATCCAGCCTATCTTAGAAATAATTAGCTCCATTTTGATTAACCTGTCAGTCAGAGAAAGCATGGATTTTCACTGTGCATGTGTTATCATATGGAATTTAGATTGTGGTTATTTCACTCTAAGTAACAGTTATTTGGCCTTGGTTGCCTTACATATCTGTAGTGTGTAGGCTTTAAGTTTTAAAGGGTATTACTAGCTTGTCATTTAACCCTTAAAAGTACAGTATAGTTTTAGCTGACAAAAATTGAGAATACCTAAAAATAAAGGCCAAAACTACAGGGCAAAGTTTTCATGTGCCCCTTGAAGGTTTCCTGTTTCTGTCCCTTTGGACTCAGCAAAGGTTAGGACTACTTCCCATCAAGCCTGCATAAAATGATGTAAAGTCTTATTGTTAGCAGAATTGCATGGAGGCAAGTGTTCCCTTGTCTCTTTTGTATGATTGCCTTTGGAAATACATGAGCCTGCTCAGTGCATCTGGCTTAGTGTTTTGCCAGAAAAGAAGGTATTTTAATACAAGAGAAAAAAACCTTTGCATGGTGACACGTCAGCTCCTAGTGACACTACACAATAAATAATCAGAGGTGGTAGACATCTAATCTAAACCAGTTTAATATTATTTGAGATGAGAGGAGAAAATGATATATTGAAGCTCTGAGAACATCATGTTTTTCTACGTGGTGAATTCATTTCCAAAAAGAATATTTAGTAACTTATGTGTGCCCCATCTGATTCCATGATTTTCTTTCAACAGATTTGTAACTAATTAAATATAGAAATTTTGGGGGAAAAAAAGAAAGAAAAAGAAATACAATGTTTTATCTTCATAGAAAGTCACTGCCTCATTGCTTCCAATGTCATCCCCATTTCTTCTAGCTTTTGATTTAAAATTTAGGTTTTCATAGTTATTAACTTTGTAACAGAGTTTATGACATCTCTGGTTTATAATTTTAAGATACTTTTTTGACAACAAAAGAATATTTGCATTTTAGGCAATAACAATGTGATAGAATTATCAAATTGCATGCTGGATCATCCATAATGAGACTAAATTATATGCATCAGTAGTGGAAACAACATTTGCATTGTTATTACACTCACAAGTCAGCTTGTGCATGTTTTCATTTGTATATGCCTGTATGTTATTTTGGTTTCAACTCAGCTTGCTTGGCCAAAAGAAAAAGGCCTATGCTTTCAGATCTAAATGCAATTAGCAGGAGAGAACAATCACTCATTAGTAAAAGCTTTTTACTATTGCAATATGCAACTGTCACAAATTCTTGCTGCAGTTTTTTCTGCTTCATCTAGTCTGGTTTTAATCAATGGGAACTTCTTTGATATCATAAATAATTCAATATGATCTCTTAGTGACTAATTGCGTTTACCTAAGTAGATTTAGAATGTTGAACACTGTCCTCTTCACTGTATATATCAGCCTGTATGAAGTTTCTCAGTTACTCCTATGCATGAACCTGCTTTTTCTGGGCACAAATTCCATACCAGCACATGAACTCTAGCCACACAGTCATAGGTTTATTTATGGAATGTCAGGTTTATGCCAGTTGTATACATGGATTATTGATTTGTTTTTTCCTTAGGCCTCATTCTGTGAAGTTCCCATTTGCTACGCATGGCATTAAACAGGGCAGTAGTGTCAAATAGTACTTAGGAAATGGGGCAAATTATTTGTCTGTTCAGCTATCATTTGAGTAACAATAGCCATCAGTACAGAGAAAAGGGTAATAGCTGAGACTGCATTTGCTGCATAGAGTTAAAAACACTGTGGCATGGCCAGCAA